GAAAGGTGAGAGGGAAGCAGTGTGTGACTAAAACACACACACACACACACACACACTGATTATTGCTGACAGATTAAAATGTAGCACCATCAGTCTTTCATCAGAAAAACCCAAACATAATGTGCAATCAGGAGCAAATGAGATGGAAATGTATTCAGACAACACCGTGTGTGTGTCAAACATTAGGGACAACTTGTTTTCTGTAGATTGTACGCAGGCCCAAACATCACAAGCTGAAACAATGTCTAGTACTAGAAAAGCTGACTGATAATCAATTCATCATTATTATTTGAATAAGAAGAATGGTTCAGTCTTCTTAAACCTACATTAGCTGTTTTTGGCCAAAGAAGCTGTAAACACAAGTAACATATTTGAGGTGGTATTTGAGATGGTGACCTTCTTATGAAGTTGTTTACACATATAGCGACACGCAGCAGTATTAGCATTCATTAGGAGCTGTGTTTGGTGTTGAACAGATAGTGTTTTTTTTATGTGTGTTTTAAAGCTATTTCTGGCAATGATTCGGAGAAACGGATGCGAATGAACCAAAACAATAACATTAAAGGCTCTAAAACCAAAACAATTAGCTAAAAGACTCTAAAATAGCTCCATAGAGCATACATTTGTATATACACAAAGTCATTTTGTCTAATGTCACTATTACATTATTGATTATTACGTCTTAAAATGTAAGGAATTGCTGCTTATTATATTATGTAATAATTTGGTTTTAAACTACTGGTTGAACAAAAAGAATCGATATAAAGATGTCATGTTTTGCCCTAGAAAATTGTTACTATTTTCTACAAATCTGCAGATAGTGAACATAATCCTCGCTCAGTCTAAAGTATATTGCATTCTTATTTGCATGCTTACACAGGATGGAAGTCACTGTATTCATTGAAGTATGCACTTTGACACGACCATAATCTACTATATGTTTAATAATGCAATCTAATGTAATCCACATCCACAAACAACAGATCTGAGGCTTCCAGATCACAATCGTGCAAACTGCCACCCAGTCCACCCACATCAGCATTCATTTCAACTGCCTGCATTATACTGTAAGAGCAGGCATGTACATTACAGGACTGATACTGTATGCTCTCCCTCATTAACATGCAAGGAGGCTAGTACGGTACATTCCCTGCCATGCACGATATGAAATGACATGCAATCACACACACATGAATACACAGTGACTCATTGTTATTTAGCTGGGTTTTACCTACAAGCCAACCCCCAATCAAAGGCACACTGACTCAGTTATTCACTCATGCAAATGCAAATGCTCTTTTTGTTCTTGTCTGTATAATAAGCCAAATTAGCATTTAAAGTGTCAGTTTACCCAAATAAGCTTGCAAAGCCCAAGATAGTATCTTCAGAATCAAGATTCAACTTAACAGTATTTAATTGAATTTGCTATCAACAAAGTAAGTCCTTTTTAAACAAAATTGAAACGCTGGTGGAACTTGCACATTCTTGGCATTTTCCTTGAAAAATGACTTAACTTAAAAAAAAAAGGCTGCTTATTAATTGTATCTGGCTACAGCTCTCATGTGGGCGAACCATTCCTCTAACACAAACACACACATTCACACTCTGACGTGGCCATTTGGCATAGTGTTAAGATCCAGGGCATATCCATATGCATTAACACACATACACTATAACTTGTATTCCTGTTCAATCTTACTGGCAAACAACAGCAACAAACGTGCACACTCAAAGGCAAGGAGACAAGTAGGAGAGAAGCAGCAGGTCTGCTCTTATGTTGTTGGAAACAAAGTGCTGTTAAATGATTTACTTGTCCGTGCATTTAAGTTCATTCTCTCATTAAAGAACAGCAGTCGACATGCAGGCAGGCTAGACAGACTAACTCGTGCACATACATACTCTAATTCATGCACAAGCTGACTCCTAGTTATGCATCATCAAACTGAGACAAATGCATATGCACGAGCACACACAAACAGCAGAAGTGGGTCAAGCTCACCAGTTCAGTCTCACTATGTTTGCATAAAAGAGGTCCCACTGTCTCACACTAGATACTATGTGAATGGTAGGGCTGTGCGATTATGGCAAAAATCATAATCACGATTATTTTGGTCAATAATTGATATCACGATTATTAAATACGATTATTCATTGGCTTTGAAAACGTCAATTTATTGAACTTTAAAACAAATTAAAATAATAATTTGAACAGTATCTGTTTAACTGTTGATTACCCTGAACGTATAATTCAACTGAAAAACCAATAAATAAAATAAATGATACATTTATATTGACATTTACATAAATAATATCAAAATAATAAATACCAATAAAAAAGATCAACAAATATTTTGGAGCGCACTTCAACAAGCTACTAAACATATATAAATATGATAAATAAATTAGTCTATAAAATAAATTAGATCAAATATGTTGCAGTGCACTGTCACAACCTAGCAAAGCAAAATAATCGTTTTTTTCGATTATGTTGTTTTTGTAATTGTGGCAGGCCAAAATCGTAATTGCGATTAAAAAACGATTAATTGCACAGCCCTAGTGAATGGACACATTGGTAATGTACAGCACTTGCACAATCACACATAAGGAACACATGAGTGCATTCTCACACCAACATGCCCAAGCAAAATCCATTTACTCTAGGAGATTAAACATCAGCCCACATCCTCACTCAGTTACACATTCATGTACTCCCCACACACACACATACACAGAGGACTTCTTCTAGATGCAATCTACAAATGAATTTACTCATGCATATCTAAATGAATGTGTTTACCTAAATCCCTCAGAAATACACTTTGTAAATCTCTTGAGCCGCAGTGACTGGTATTTTGGCTCGTGCGATTCATTTCAAATGTACGTCACAGCTGCACTCTGGGACGTCGTGCTGCGGCAGATGCATAAGGTTCCATCGCGCGCCCACACGTGGATGTGCATTTAAAGAAAAGGCGATAGAAAAGATATTTTTTGGCTACCTCTGCCTGCTTCATGTTGAAACAATGCTGATGAGAGCGAACGAAAGCATGAACATTAAAGGTTCTTAAACCAAAACAAGAAGCTGAAAGACTCTGAAAATCTCCCTTGAGCTGAGATCAACCTTTTTTACATACACATAGTCATTTTAAATATGTACGTGTATCAGAATCAGAATCAGAATCTGAATACCTTTATTAGTCCCACAGAGGGGACATTTACAATGTTACAGTAGAAGAGAGCCAAAGACTGCTTAATACCTAACCTAAGTAGCATGCATACAAAAAAATATTTAAGATTAAAAAAAAACCAATTATAATAAAAAAACTTACACAATTTACAAAGAACACATCCTGTATCAGGTCTGAGGATTTAGCAGCCAGGTATATATTGCACAGTTATTAACGGCATATATATATATTGCACATATTGTACATATTGCACATAGTTGGAGGTTAACAACAAGGAGTCTGTGTTATTGTTTGTGTGGGGTCTACTAGGGGCCGATGTCTATTTGACACATTCCTATTGAATACACACCCCTCAGTGACATCCATTCAGAGTTTGATGTCCACCTCTTGAGTGTGTTAATTGATGCCAACATGAGCTATGAAATCTCCAGTTTCAAAGCAAAAGAAAATCCTGTGTCTCGTCGTTCACTGAGGGTTAAATACATGGCTAAGCGAGGGTGAAGATTAATAGCAGGAACTTTTACACCGAGGTCCCTTTTGCAAATAAACAAGAAGAGAGCTGGATGCAGAAACAAGGGAGGGCTGAGGAAGATGTTGAGCAGGACCTAAATGAGGGGGTGTAGAGAGCAGAGTGTCGAGTGAACTCTCCCATAAGAGCCGGTTTGTTTCCCCCATCTGTTTACTCCACTGTGCAGTCCTTTACCATGAGACCGTTACACCACTCCGGCCGTTCCACTCAGCGGAATGAAGGCGAGCATTGATGCAGAGGTTTCCATTTGGCTTCTTTTTCACAGCGCGTGTCTGAAATATGAGCATGAAGTGGTGGAGCTCACCCAGGCAACGTACCGTACCGCGGCAGTAGTGGCACCAGTTCAAAACCTCTTGTCTACAACACAAATCAATGGAGAAACAGAGATTAGGGCATATTTAGTTATGAGCTCAGTGATGGATATATTTCCAACATACAGAAGCTATGTGTAGTGGTGCCAGCATGTCAGCGGAGGTGGGGGCAACTCGATTTATTACAGCACATAATCCCAGCCATTATGACGAAATATCTGAAATGAAAGGCCACATAAATCCTGGTTTATTTTATGTGTGGCAGATGTTAAATATCATATATCAAAAGAGGCATGTGTAACCACGCTGGAGAGGTTATTTATTATTATTATTATTTATGGATTTGTTTGCTATCGTTAAGTTCTGTTAGTACTAGTTACGAGCTGGTGCCTTTCTGTTCCACTCATCATACAATTGTTTGTTTACATATCAGAGGACATTGGTTTTTCTTGAAGGTTTTACTACTTCTGCTTGAAATTGATTTGAAAGGTACACAAATATTGAATTTGTTAGCTTAATTTATTTGAACATTATTAACTCTCTTCTGACTTCAATTCATTATTCAACTTCTTATTATTTAACTGAGTTTAGGCACACCACCTGACTATACATCTTTATGAAGAAAACTCAATACAATTAACGTTTGCATTTCTATCAGACAACAATGTGTTTGTTTTAGGCCATCATTTTACCCAAGCAGAGGATCACTGATTTCAGGACCTTTTTTAATATCTTATCTTAACACAAACAAAGTGCATATTATGAGACATATAAAAAAAGCTGTAAATCTTTACAGACAAACCTTTACATCCAGTTAAACTCCTATATGACTATCCTATTGAACCAGTTGTCAGACATTCCAATAAAGTTTGACAATGTCATCCTACAGTACACTTGAACCCCATGCTGTTTTAAATGCTCCTCAAATATAAAAAGAATACGTTTATGTTTAATAATTATTCGTCTCTTTGTCAGGTTTGATTACCAGGAGCTCCTCCACAACTCCACCTTCTGTCTGGTGCCTCGAGGGCGACGCCTGGGCTCTTTTCGCTTCCTAGAGTCACTCCAGGTAAATATTTATTATGCAATGTAATGAAAACCATCGATGATATTCATGAATATGTCTGCTCTGTTCGCCACATGATCGTGCTGTAGACTTGCATTCTGCGTCAAGTATAGAAACATAACACTGAAGTCATGTTGATTTATATTCTTTGTAAAACTGTGTTGTTTATCCTGCCTGAGCAATTGACGGCTCTCCAGTTTCTTTGATGCCCACAACAACAAACAGCTGAAATCTCCACATGCCAACACAGCAATCATCTTATCAACATATCAGCATTTCCTTCCGGATAACGCTGTTTGAGTGACCAAATTACACTTTTCCAGGAAACTGCTTCAATAAAAATAAGATCATGTAGCGTTCAGTCAACAAGGAAGTGCACAGTATGCTGAATGTCTAAGTTCCAGAGCCGTGGTTTATATAGTCTTTTCGTTATTGACACCTTAATGGTCACATCTGCAAGTGCTTTCCCCACCATTGTGTTGTGTTGAGAGCAGATCTAACATAAAGGCTTTATTTGCTATTTGCTGGGCCTTTTAAACTCAAATGGGTCAATTAATTCACCCACACACACGTACAGAAACACTGGAATCGTTCATTTAAGTCCATCAGTGAAATGTGCAAAGTACAAACAATGAAGAACCCACAAAGGCGGCGGAGTGAACAGAACAGTTTAAACCAGACCGTCTGTTCTCTCTCTGCCACCCAAGTCGACAGTCTCACACCGTCGCAGGAAGCAGTAGTGGCTGTTTTTAGATTTGCCGTACACTGAACTCTCTGGCTGCTAGTGTTCCCTGGCCACACTGCTCTCTGGGGTGTGTGTGTGTGTGTGCATGAGTGCTCCGGAAGCATCCATAGAAGTGGCAGCCTGCCCCACCGCTGATGTCTGCTGAATGGACAAATCCACAACCCACTTGGCTTGGCAGCATTCATGGTCTTCTTTCTTTGTCCTCTCTTTCTCCTTCTTAGTCTTCTCCTCCCTTCCGTCCTCTCTCTTGTCCATCCCAGGCACTTTTTGAGACTTTTTGGTTGTGTTTTTTTTTTTTTCTGCCAGCCAATCCCACAAAAGAACTGGCAATTACCAGTAGCAGTGTGGTAGGAAACTTGCTGCCTGCTTTCCAATATACAGACAGACACATATTTCTAAATACACGCCTTCTCAAAACCTCCCTCCTCTCTATCTCCCAATGCAAACAAACCAAAAACAACTACACAGCCTTTCATATTAACCTTCCTCCAGGCAGGGGGGGGGGGCTTGAGATGTTTGAAACTCACCCTCACACAGCCTCATCTCTTGGGGAGCAGACTGAGGCGAGCCTGGGGCCGCATTTCACATTTAAAGGCCTTGGATTATCACTCTGGGAGTCTTCGTGTGACCTTGTTGTAACCTGGGGCTCATTCTGACACATACACACTCCTACCAGCCTCCCTATTTGTTCGAGTGTCCTTCAGCAGGTTTATTCTCGGATGAAATGCAAGAGCATGGAAGCCCCGTTGGGCCAGAGAGAGCGTTTGATCTCCACCAATTTCGCCTGCTGCTGCTGCTGCTGCTGCTGTTCTCTGGTGGTTTAATTAGAAAAAAAGTGGGGGGAAAAAAATAACACCCAGACCTATCAACACTCCAGACCACAGAGAGAGAGAGAGAGAGAGAGAGAGAGAGAGAGAGAGAGAGAGAGAGAGAGAGAGAGAGAGAGAGAGAGAGAGAGAGAGAGAGAGAGAGAGAGAGAGAGAGAGAGAGAGAGCAGGATGGGATGAGAGTGCAGTGGAAATGGAAAAAGGAGTACAGAGAGAGAAAGTGAGATGGGGAGACCAAAGTAGGGCTTGGAAAGCAATAAAAAAAAAAGTGGAACAACATCAAAAACCTGTCAGTGAACGAGCGAATAAGGCAACATCAAAAATCGACTAATAAAGCGTGATGTCTCCACGTATCAACCGGCTCTTTCTAATCTCCTCCCATCCCCTCATCCTTCTCTTTTTTTTCTTCAGTTTACCCTCCTCCCCTCATATTCCCCCTCAGTGGTTGTTCCTAATTAGTACGCAAGGAATCAGCCACATCTGTGTTTGCATGTATATGAGTGGCAGTCCTCTAGGGCTTCCTGGGAAAGGAGAGATAGGAGTTATAACTCACTGCAGCCACTGTTTGGGGGTCTTACACACACTCAGCTGCACATACATTTACACACAAGGGTATTGATCACATTGTCTGATCCTCCTGGGATGTCACCGTGCCAAGCAGCTGAGACTGAACTCCTCCAGAGTGTATTATATCCACGCAGCTGCAGTATGTCACGTTATGTTGCCAAAGAGAAGCTGGCAACAAGGGAGAAACGAAGTCAAACTACAGCTGATTGCAATTAAAAGTGATATACTGTATATGTTGGTTTCAATTTGCTCTTCATGCCATCAGTGTCAATTTGTCTCTGAGACTGTGATTGTGTATGTGTGTGTCCAGGCGGCGTGTATCCCAGTGCTGCTGAGTAACGGTTGGGAGCTGCCGTTCTCTGATGTCATACAGTGGAACCAGGCAGTCATTGAAGGAGATGAGAGATTACTACTACAGGTAACGCACACACACACACAGACGCTTGCTCACTTTCATTTACAGATGCGGACAAACACAGACACACAACTAGAAAAGGCTGGAGGGTCTTCCTCTCACATCCCAAACTAAGAACAGTTTAAAATCTTTCAATTGTCCCTCCCTGATTGATTACAGTCAAAATAGCGGTGAAAATAACAAAATTGGGGATTTTCTCTTCGCCTCGGTATGTGCCTCATTTAAGTGGATTATAAAATGTTGGACTTGGTAGTAAATCATCAATGATGCCCCTTGGTAACTAGGTTAGGCTTGTTTTTTTTAAGTTGCAATGAACGCAAACACGAGGGCATTGAGTATACAGTCAGAAATGTGCACAAAGATATCAGGCAGATCCAGTAGTATGTGATATTAGACAGACAGGTACACAAGCACACACACACACACACACACACACACACACACACACACACACACACACACACACACACACACACACACACACACACACACACACACACACACACACACACACACACACACACACACACACACACACACACACACACACACACACACACACCAATGTTAATAATCAAATGCGGAATGAGAGATTGCATTGAGGAACAGATTCTAGTTGGTTTAGCCCAGGCGAGGCTTCATCACTGCGGCTCTCTGTTACCTGTATCAAGGAGAGTGGTTGCAGGTTGGGGCCCCTTGACATTACACACCCACAGAGACCTTAATCCAGAGTCAGTTCAAACGCTCTCGCTTGCTCATCCTGTGTATGTCTCTTCTCACACATTCACAAACACAATGGGAAAGCAAAGCCGGCTCACCCTCAGCTACAACCTTTATCTCTCTCCCTCACACAAAGCACACCATGTCTGCTCTGCATTGATCTCGCCCAGTAGAGGACACGAATTGGCATTCAGCTAATGAACACAAACCAGACCCCGAGAGCTCGGAGCAGGGGAGAAATGGACTGAATGAGCCGACCTCATCAGTGGCATTTCTGCACACCTGCAAAACGATATAATACGCACACAAATATTCTGCCTGTCTATGATCTGAGGGTAAGGAGTGTCAGGTTTTTTTGTAGAAGAGGCAGATTGAGGGTAGACACTTCAGACAAACTCTAGTGAAGCTGTCCTTCAGATGTACTTTGGCAAAAAAGTAGAAGGATAGGGAGAAAGTGGGAGCAAGGTGAAGTAGTGAAGTCTGGAGAAAGGGAGGTATGTGAAGAGAAAATGTGAGGTTTAAAGAACAAAGACAAGAATGTGTGAATAAGAGAGAAAAAAGAGATTTAGCGGCCTCCCGGCTTTTTTAACTGGCGCTCATTAGGAAATGTGTTAGCTGTGTGGAGACAAAAGGGTTTAGAGAAGGCAAGAGCTCCCACTTTTCTCAGTTCAACATGGCTTTTTTCCACTTTGATTGAGCCGCCGAGCTAAACTCTCTAAGTGATTTAATCAATTTTGGGGATTCACTTGAAAATGAATGTCGTCTTTACTAATTAGAGTCTGATTATCTGAACAACAAACCCAAATAAACTCTGATTAAAATGTGTTTTTAGGGGGCCAGATTAACCAACTACTCAATTTAGTTAACGCAGTTTTGATCACTTAAATGCTATTTCCTCCTTTTTCTTTGTTCTGGTCTATTTTAAGAGACACAACTTGCTTTAAAAACCAAGTTCAATTATTCCCTGTTCTTCTTTTTCATTTTGTTTTCTCACTGTCTGGATGTTTTACTCTTCTCATCTTTTGTCTTCAGGTGCCATCCACAGTGAGAGCCGTAGCGAATGAGAGGGTCTTGGCCCTCAGACAGAGGACCCAGATGCTATGGGAAGCCTACTTTTCCTCTGTGGACAAGATAGTCCTCACCACACTGGAGGTGAGCCTCAGCCTTAACACTCAGTAATAATGGCCCCATGTGACAGAAATATGTGTCTTTGGCTACAGAAACTAACTGACACAGGGACAACTGCAAGGACTAGTTGGTAAACTGTAGCTGATCTAACCTCTGACACGCTTAAGCAAACGGGAAAATCTAAGCGCTATATTTACTGTACCAGTATTCTTTTGGGATTGTATATTTGGTACTCATTGGAGAGGGGAAAAAAGCTTTCCAAGCCATCAATCTGGCTGTACAGTAGGTTACCAAAAAATAACAGTTGTCATCTAACCGTCAGTACAATAAGATATGAACTAACATTTTTGAAAAAATCTTCACGTCAGGAAATTTATAATTTATAATTTGAAGTTTGAGATATTCTACATTTCTGACAGAAACAATTTTGCCCACTTAACTTTAATGAGTTCACACATTTATGGTGAACTGTCACTATTGCTCTGTTTTCAAATCTAAATTGGGTTTATCGCAAGGTAGGTTTTCAAATTCCAGAAATTAGCTCTTTTTTCTAAACTGTTAATACATCAACACAGTAAGAGGAATTAAAATGTAGAATAAGCATGAATATAAAACATTGAATTGTTGATAATACAAGCATGTTGAGTTAATGTTGCATTGCAATGTAGCGGTTTTAAATGCTACTGTAGTCTTAAAGTCAGAACAACTCTAAACGATCATATATAATCTTAGCTTTTTGGTCTCCTCAGGACATCTTGCTCCCACAAATGCATTTGGATAATGTTGTTTTTGGCTGCTGAGCATTGCCTAGAAACCAAATGTTTAAACGCTGAGAGTTTCTGCTAGCATACAATTCTGTTTGGGAATGTGAGAAGACATCCAGTGAAAACATCTACAAACGCAGCCACTGCAGTAAACACAGGTTTCCTGTTGAACAAACAGCCATAGTTGCTACCTCTCTGTGGTTTACTGCCTGTGTGCTATCATCAGTCCTCTCAGAAAATCTTTTCACATTTGAATCAAACCAACCTTCTATCATTATGATTACGGGGTTGGACCTTGGCCTGTGCTCTATATTTCTACCCTTTTACTATCTGTGTGGCACTAAAGGTTTGAGGGAGCATTTCAAAGCAGCCCACATCCGATCTGCCTGAAGTCTCAGAGAAAGTCCCCCGATGTAAAGAAATGATATATCATTACTTTTGCAGTCTCAACCTGCCAGTTTCTGCCTCACTGCTTGCTATTATCAAACTGTTAGAAATGTTACTTTGCTACTTATTCAGTCATTGCTATTTATACAGTAGAATCAGAGAGCTGCTTGGGATATTTTCTGTGATCTTCGCAGTTCTACTTCTCCAAATGTTGTTTCGGCCTACTATCTTTGTAAGTAAGTAAAGTGTACTTCAAAGGTAGTTGTTCCACTAAGTTCATGTCATTTGAAGGTTAGCCTAAGGGTTAGATGATGAAACGGAAAAAAACACCTCCTCTTATAAACAGCTTTTCTGCACACTGCCAATTTGAATTTTAAGCAAATAAAAAAATGGTGGAACAACAGATTGAACCCCTCTGAAATCTGAAGAAATCACACAGTGAGTGGTAGGATGTCCACTGGGTTGTGTATAAAGGCGAGTCTGGCAGCCTCCTAGTGTATTTGCTTCTGGGGATTTATGCTAGAGATAATAAAGGAGAGGTTCTGGAGGTTGGTGATAAGCTGCTTATATACATACAGCATGCAGAGGGGAACCTCTCCCCATGGGAGACAGCTGTGCAGTCAGCCTGAGGTCAGCGAGGCAGAGGCTGTTGCAGTGTGGACACCTCCTGTTGGTGTAGCATAGGAAGTACACAGTGTATACATTTGGGTTGCTATAATTTGCAAACACAAGTGTGTCAGGTCTCAAATTGCAGTGGAATTTACATTAAGCGCTAAGACTCTCATCAACCAGCTTAGAGGGAGAAAAATGTGTTGCAGGATTATACCAGATGAGCACAACAGCCACTTTAACAACGCTAAGGAAACTCTCTGCTTCTCACATTGCAACCCTTCTGGAACATTGTCCTTTTTTCCCTTCCACAGATTATTAAGGATCGTGTTTTCTCTCACATATCGAGAAACAAGTACATGTGGAACTCCCTGCCAGGAGGCCTGCTGGTCCTGCCAGAGTACTCCACTCACCTCGCACATTTCCCTTTCTACTACCTGGGATTAGGTAAACACACTCTTCATTTAAATCAGTGTGCACAACATGCAAATCTTGATTGCACACCGAGGATGTTGATGAGACTATTATGCCAGAGCTATGGAGGTGTGAGTGGAGCAATCAACTGTATTTACTGAAGTACTTTTATGTAGTTTTTCTTTAAACATGCTAAAATATATGTTAAGAATATAGGGTATGATTATTTCAATTTATTTAAGCAGTCATTTTTATATGATTCTTTTTTAAAGAAACTTGTGACAATTCTGGCATGTGTGTTACTCTCTTACACAATGGTTTTTTGACACCGCCAATGGGTGTGCCAAACACTCTTTTACCATTTGTATTTTTTCTGTGACCTTACACAGGGGTCAGTCCAGGTCAAGAGTTTACTGCTGTCATCAATGCCGTGTCCCCATTGGTCTCCCAATCTCAGCCAATCATGAAGCTGCTTCAAGTTGTCTCCAAGTCCAAATACTGCTCGCAGGTACACAATTTAATTAAATTAATAAGCAAGAAAATAGGTAAAAGAAAAATACTTGTGAGAACCGTACCAGGCGATTTATTTCTCAATATATAGTTGTCTATATCCCTGGAATTCATTAATTTATGTGAATAAACTACATGAAACTATCATTTGTTAGTTTTGGATTCTTTTTTAGGACATATGTATTTTTTTTAATCTGACGTGATAAGGGCACAGTCAAAACTTGAACAGAAGCTATAATAAGAGCCGTCCCTCGCATTTATCATTGTATGAAATAAACATATGTCAAATGTCAGTTCAATGAATTATAGAAAAGATGTCCACTATGGCAAGAAAATGGGAATCACTGATCTTATATCTCTTTCCCTATACAGTATGAGTAATATTAATGTACTTCCTCCTGCTCCAGATCATCATCCTGTGGAACAGCGAGAAGCCCCCACCCAGTCGCAGCAAATGGCCTCCGATGCCCGTCCCCCTCACTGTGACAGACGGCAGGAGGAAGGTGAGAGCCAAAGCCCCCTCACAGCTCACACTGAAGCCCGCCCCGACGTCTGAGTGACGGCATGACAAACTGTCGGCTGCTCAGTCGCTCTTTGTCTTTCTTTCTGTTACCCCATTTTCTGGCCCCCCTCATTGATGTCTATTTTTCTCTGTCTTCCTATCCATGTATATCTGACATGTCCACTGATCCGTGTAGCATTCGGTTTCATAAATGTCACTCATCCTCAATATTTCTTCTCCGTCTCACTTTCGCTGTCTGTCTCCTTTGTTTTTCCCGTAGGCAGAATCTGTAGTGATTCAATCATCTCAGTCACTCTACATGATTAACTGTTACATGATCATCTCTCACTCACTCTCATAATCTCCCTAAGCAAAGACCAGACACCATAAATCCCACAGTACCAGAACTACAATTCACTGCTGTATTTCTCTCTCAGACCACCAGTCGGTTCCAACCTCATGTTGCCATAGAGACAGAAGCAGTGCTGAGTCTGGACGAGGATACAGTCCTGCTGACCAGTGAGGTGCGTGTACAAACCAGCAGAACTGCACTCATGTAGATGTCAATATTCCTGAAAAATAAGCAGCAAAATTCCATGTCTGTCCTTGTAGGTGAACTTTGCCTTCTTGGTATGGCGGAGCTTCCCTGAACGCATCGTGGGCTACCCTCCCAGGAGCCACTTCTGGGACCCCCTGAAGCGCGCCTGGGGCTACACCTCGAAATGGACCAATGACTACTCCATCGTCCTGACTGGAGCTGCCTTCTACCACAGGTACACCAACAGACTGTATAAATAGATTTACCATTTGGAGCCTGTTTTTATTTTCATGTTCTCCCTATAGATATGTGTCCGCATATTTGAAGTAGGCTTGTATGAGTTATTTATCCAGAGGCTACCTCTGCCTCGGTCAGTTAGTTTTGTTATTTCAGATTCACCTAGTTCACACAATAACAACAATAACAACATAAAAACAATGTAACCCATCGAGGCAGTGGTTGATGAGCAGCTGCCTTGTAACTTAAGATGAAATTAGTTTCTTTCCAGAGAGTGGCATTGAAGAGATTGTAGATAACCACTTCAGTTCCCCTTTGAAAAAAGGCTGTCTGACGGAAAGGTATAAAGCTAAGTGTTGCTTCGAGCTATATGCTAGGGTCATGCTAATCCAGGTAACCATTTTAACCATCTTTAGCATGCTACGATTAATAATTAGCACTAAACTCAAAGTGCAGCTAAAGCACATAGGAATGTCAGTAGCTTTGCAGGTATTTGTTTATAAATCACATGATTGATAATGGTGTTTACATTTAAGTCAGGAGAATCCACAGTAATTAGGATGCATCTATAACGATCCATTTGACAGTAGTTGAGACATTTCAGTCTGGAGAAAAGTAGTGGACTGACCGAACGTACTCATATTTGTCACATTGCCACCAGCATTTAAGACTGCACATGGTTTGTTTTTGAATATCTTTCATCAGATATTTAAGTCATTAACTTCTAACAAGTTTAATTGATTCTTCCCGGACGCCGTACATAATGGCAGCTCACTGCTCCTAACACTAGGATGGGTCAAATGCAGAATGTACTTTTCCCCTCTGTGGGACGATTAAGGGTATATCAAATAAAAAAAATAAAAATATGCACGCACCTTCATTTAGACACACACATGCAGACTTGTAACCCAGATCAAAAGAATATTACCTGTCAGATCAACGACTTAAAACAAGGGACACCTTTATGAATTGCAACATCAGCGATCATTATCACATAAGTCTCGACACGAAAAGCAAAAAGGGAAAATCCAACAGAAGGGAGTAATAATGTGTATGGCTTAGTGCGAGAGAAAAAGGAGGGAGGATGTTTGACTCATCTTTACTTCAAGATGCTTGATTAATTTGAGAAGCCTGAAGTCGATATGTGCGATGGCAGAGCGATGCAGTAAGCTCTTATACATTATGAATGATTATGAATGTAATAACTCCACAGGCAGGGCACTTTAACAGCTGTTAAAGTGGTCATTTTTGTCAGCAGTTTTATGAAAACACACTTTTGTCATTTGAATTTGAATCCATAAAGCAACTGACATTTGCAAGGCACATTTGCATTACCACAAATGCCTGTTTCATCATTTATCAGATAAATGAAAATGAGAAGTCAGTAAAATCCTGGCTTGTTCATTCTGAAAATGCTCAATTTAGTATTTTTTGTCAATTTAGGCAAATGTTTTAATCGCTTATTGTGTTGGTAAAGGGAAGGCACCAAATGGCTTTTCTCACACAATACATTTGACAAAACAACATAGAAAATAATTTCCCTGCAAAAAATGTCATTAAGTTATACATAATTTTATGTATAATTTTTTATTTTTACTCCCTTTGCAAATTTAAAACTAATTTAAAAAAGAACAATAACAGGTACTACGTCACACAAATGTAATGCAAAAATACCAGATACAATCTCCAGTATTGTAAATTAAAGGAATGTAGAACATATGCATTGAACCACAGTTTGTTGTGCTCTATAAATATCAAATCCCACTTGCAGGGAAATGGTTAACTTGTCCCAGATACATATCATCAACATACATCACACCATCTTCGCCTTTCTGTCAAGCTACCATGCCTGTATTAGCATACAGGTGCTGCGTGCCCGGCCCCCCCACCTGAGATGGATCACATTGCAGAGATCTCTTTTTGTCTCTATGATACATATTTATTTTAGGTGCTTATCTGAGGTGTTGTCTAAAGGGATTTGCTGTGCAAGTAGCTAGAATGGTGAATACAGACTAATAATAGTGAGACAGAACTGGCAACAGATGTGAAAAAATATTCCTGCAAGATGAATAATAGATCAAGGTGTAAAGGAGGTCCTTTGTTAGAAAAATACATGTTTAAATCCTACTTTTTTTTCACTTGAAAAAGTTTAAAATCCTGTAGATATTTCTTTTAAATGGGTGCCAAAGAAGTAGAAATCATGGACAATTAGTTAATTAAATCAACAGTATCTATGAAAAACGTGATCCAGCAGTGTCTTTCTGATTGAAAAAGCTGGTTTATCTTTATGTTGACAAGTCTTTGATGTCATTCCAGACCTTTTATTTGATCAGTACTTATAGTATTGTGTCAGTTTGTGTTCTCCTCTTGTCGTCAAACAGAGAGCGGGTGTTTAATGTCTGCAGCAATATCAACAGACAATTCTGTTCTGCAATACAAACAGTTGTTAAAGAAAGCAGAGAAAACATTTACACACCTCATTTAGCTAACATTTTTTGGAAATGTAATCTGTGATGTCCGCGTAGTAATTGAAAGACATACGTTTTTATCCTCACTACAGATGTCCTATCCACATTTTGATAACATGACACCTATGCCTGTATAACACTCCCCCTGCCCCACAGGTACTACCACTACCTGTTCACACACTACCTGCCCCAGTCTCTGCGCACTCTGGTGGACCGCACCTCCAACTGTGAGGACATCCTGATGAACTTCCTGGTCTCCGCGGTAACCCACCTGCCGCCAATCAAAGTGGCCCAAAGGAAGCAGTACAAAGAGTTGCCCAGCCCACAGGTTGGTAGCCATTTGTGTTCCTCAGGTGTGTTTATTGCTGTTGACTCTAATGTCAGGTGATGATAAATGTGTCTCGTCCTACCTCTCAGGGCACAAAGACCGTCCCCTGGGCCAACCCGGAGCACTTCAACCAGCGGCAGGAGTGTATCAACACCTTCGCCAACTGGTTTGGCTACATGCCTCTGGTCCACTCTCAGTTTCGCCTGGACCCCGTGCTCTTCAAAGATCAAGTGTCTGTCTTCCGCAAGAAGTACAAAGACCTGGAGAGGGCATGAACATGAAGGATAGAATCGAGAGAAGGGCTGGAAAGCATCGACGTCTGGTCTAGTAGCCTTTTGGACAGACAGATGGACCAATCAGTGGTGATCAGAGGTTGGAGTGGGTGGGATTTTGCCCATTTCTGACATGGACAAAGTACAATCATTCAACAGACCCTGGTGGACTGTTAATAAACATATGAAGAGAAATGGCCGATAAAAGTTTGATAAGAACTCAGGATTCTCCCAGTGTGGTAGGACAACAAAGGAGGACATGTCTTGGCCATGAAAGAGGCCCTGTGATTGGGCCTCCAACCGAGGAACATCCCGATTGGACAGCAGAGAAAGGAAGAGTGTGTGTGCTCTTCAGATGTCAGTGCTATTGCTTTGACAATGGGAAGGAAAAGGCTATTTCATGCCAGAAGGGACTGGTATTGGTGCCATGCACTCCAGCTGTCAGTGTGTGTTTCAGCAATCAGTGAAGGGACTGTTGCCATGGAAACAGATCATTTCACATCAAAATGCTAATTGTAAAATCAATAAAGTGATTTATAAATGCAAATTCTGGCATCATGCTGCATACTTTTCAAGTTGTTTCCCGCTAACTTGGCACACCCTTTTTTATTCATGGGAGACCAAGACACATTTTTTCAGCAGAGATGAAGTATGTAAAACACATTTAGTGAACAGGCAAAAAAAGACAGTCCTGTATACATTATTGAATAACATATAACCATCCTATTCTTTCAGTTTTGACTAGCACGGCAGCTAACCAATCATTTACGGTAATTTTAAATGTGCCACCACACATTACTGAAAAGAAAGCACTAAATAGTCAAGTCTGAGAAGCTTGTGAAGTTTTAACAATAAAATAAATAAATCAGTTATCAAAAGTATTTGCCAATTCATTTTCTATCAAATGACTAATCATTTTTATTAAACAACTGTCAAAACTGTTTAAATAATTGTATTTTATTTCCTTAGCAAACATTTGGTTGAAAACCCTGTTTGGACAAACTTAATTGGCTGCAATTTATTCTAAAAAATACAATTACAGCAATCAAAAGAACTCCTCAATCACATGCCCCATGCTTTTGTGAATGTTCTTTGTTGCCTTGATGTGATGTCGGAGTGCTAAACTGATGATCTGTTGGTGAGTAACGACAGAAGAATACAAAAGGTCCGGGTCAGAATATGCATCATGTTGTGTTGGTGGATATGCCTTCATACTTATATATAATCTCAATTGTAAAGCAGATCATGCATTCCCACGCCTGGCCTCAGGGTTGGAATTGAAAACAATGACGCAGTGAAACAGTACATGAAAGTACATGTTCAAAAGATTTGTTTAAAAAAAAAAGTTTATTTGATAGAAAACGCAAATTACCCCTTTAGGCCTACCTTCATCCCAGTTTACAAAAATAAATTCACAGGCAAGCAAGTCTGCACACCCTCAGGGTAAACAGGTGTGTAGCACTCAGGAAGCTAATCTCATTAAGCACATGCACACACACACACTCACTTATGTACAAAGCACCTGAGATGCATAGCTGCCAAGAGGCTAATTTCAATTCTGAACTCAAAGTGTTTCTACAACTGACGGAGCATAATCAAGGGGGAAATTGTTCCTTTTGTAAACACAGTCATCAGCTCAGCTCCTGCACTCTCAGAATCACCTGCGATGCATTCAAGTCCGTCTGCTGCTGAGTCAGCACCCGGGGGGGGAAACACTGTGAAGAGGGTGTTCTTACCTGAGACAATACAGGTTTTAAATAGTAAGAAAACATTAGTCCATTAGAGTAAACACCATGACAAACAGTACAAACCTAAACCTGGCAGCTGCCTTGTAAAAAAAGAGAATGTTGGAGTTGGAGTGCATCAGGTTAACAAATTGTATCCTTTTGGCTCTCATGAATCCTATCTAAATCATATTTCCCCTTTAACAGCTTAAATATAATACATTATTAACAGCAGAAGCTCTTGGTCGAACTGCGAGTGTTTCAGTGATGAAGTGCCAACACAAATGTCCTGTATTCCAAATCCAGCAAAGATGTTCCCCTTCCCTTTGCCATTATGCAGTCCATACGTCTACAGAGCAATGCTTCTCGTCATGAGAGAGTGCACGTGTCACTTCCTGAGCGTCAGCATGGCGTTGACGTCCCACAGCAGGTTCCTCATCTGATCCATCAGCACCTTCATCTCCTGGTTCTTCTGACGCACCTTCTGCAGGAAAAGACACATGACGTCCATCAAGCTTTTACCTTACAATCATCAGAAATATACCCACCATCAAAATATATATATTATTGAGGCTTCATTTGATTCTTGCTGGAGGACTTTCAGGATTAAAAATATAGTTATTTTAAATGATTTCCTACCATGTAGTTAATAAAACAAACAATCTAACAAGCCTCAGGCAAACTTTTCCTATATTTTGCCTATGGCTGCCCGACGGCAATTTCCAAACATACTTGAAATCGTCATCCCAATGGAACTCTAAATCCTCTCTTATGTTTACAAAAACACTAACTGGAATTGAAATGTATTTAAGCTGCACACAATGCTTGTCTTCCTGCATTTCACCCACAAGACCAATGAGTAGCATCTGCCTGTGTCTGCACTGCCACCTAGAGGAAGTTGCAGGGGACTCTAAAAGCTACATATTTTGGTTAAACTCAAATCCTAATGAGAAGTCAACTGAGAAGTATAACAATGTCAGACTTCACTACATCATATTGAATTGATTTAGAAGCTCATCAGTGTTTGCTTTTAGATGTTCTCTATTTTGCTAGACCAAGTCCCACTGAAATATCTGGCAATTCGTGGCACTTTCTCCCAATTAGTAACCACCTTACAGCATGAGTTTTATATAATAGTGCAATATAACGACTAATTGCAACCTGACAGCAGCATAGGGAGGTGTCGCTGTCACACTACTCCTCTCTGTGCAGTAAATACGTGTGAAGTAACTGCTGGTGATTAATACTTGTGACGAAAACCAAAAACAGGAACACACCTCTAGAACCTCTTTCCTCTCCTGGTTGACAGCAGGACTGCAGGGCTCCACTTTGACAGAAAGAAGCTCCTCTCCAACGTATGGCAGAATCTGAGGACACAGAGAACATGGAAAACAGTTATTCCCTCCTGAATGCATTGGGTTTTGATGCAGACAGAAAAGAGGTTTGATAAAAGGCAGAGGATAAACTGACTATTTTGCAGATGTATTCACTCTTGCCCTAATGAAAGGACAGCAAAATATGTGTTTCAAGATATATTTATCATTTATTTCGTTCAAGAAAAAAGGGAAATACACATCAAACTAATATCCAAGCAGGACTGAATGGTCCCTTCCTGACCTCTGCTGGTCCTTCCTGGAGGTCAGAGGTCATCTCCACACAGCGTTCGTACAGCAGCCGCAGCTTCCTGAAGAGCAGGGCAAGCTGCCTCAGGTGTTCCTGCAGCTTCCCAAAGCGGTCCTGGTACATGGCCTGGCTCTGGGTCACACCGTTAGGAAGCTAAGGAAACAAAACACACAGAATCTGTTGTCAGTTTCACTATCATTTACATGTGCAGATATCAAAAATGAGTTTCTTATAATCAGAAGAGTCTGAAGACAGAATACAATTCAAGTTTTTACTCTTGGTTTTCTGTGTGGTTAAAAGCTGAAACTGTAAAACATTGTCAAGAATTCCACCTTTTTTCAATATTTTAACGCCGTATTTGATGTGATAGAATGTATATGGTGTTGTGTCGACTGTGAAATGCATGACAACTAAATGTTTGAGTCCACGGTCCTTTGCTGTTGGAGTTTCATTAGAGAAAAAAAAGCTTGCTCAGTTTAAATGGACAAGGACAAGCTGGGAGAGGTGAGAGAAACACGGTGAGAGACAATTACAGACAGAGATGAGGGGAGATGGAAGACTTAGTAAGACAGATGCTGAGGAGCATGCTAAGCAGATACACCAGGGAAGGGTGATAATGCAGACTGACAGATGAGAAAGGATCCCTGTAAGCAAAACACAACAGCCATAAGGTTAACCTCCAAACACACAATACAGGAAGAGCAGAGTGTAGTTTACTCTGTAGTGAAACGTAAGTTCAATCAGGTAACAGTAAAGTCCTGAATTGAAATGTTATGGCCCGCTCATCAATGTAGATAGAGGTGGACAAAGCCTCTCCAATCCACTATTGATTACTCCATTCTCTCTCACAGGAAAACCTTTCTCTATTGTAACTGTTTGACCATCATATGTGAGCTTTTGCGACTATTAGAACTTTAAAATAATGCTCCTTGGAATTGTCATGTTTTAATTATTATTCATACAAAATAAGCAACACCCTAAACAACACCTTATAGGCTCTTAAATGTGTCTTTATTACACTACATTCATAAAAGGAAGTTTTTTTCTCAAAAGTAGCCACATGGTTTTACTACAACAGGTGATCCTACTAAATAAGTGACTATGTGCTCTAATGCAAAACCAGGCATTCACACCACAGTTCTCATACATATGGAGTAAAACTAATTCAGATCTTCAGCTCAGTCCATATATCCAGTACCTGCGTTGCTCGTGTGATCTGGAAAATCTCCATGGTGCGAGTGACGATGTCCTGGACGGTCTCCTGTCCGATCCTGCAGAGGAACACCGGGGAGATCTCCCTCAGGGCTCCCTGGGGGGGCACGGGCTGCTGCCCCGCGGCCGAGGCAGCTCCGGGGGGGGCCAGGTGGGGCTGCTGCTGGGGGGGCATCCCTGCCATCCCTGGCTTCTGAGGCAATGAGGCTGCCATCACTCAGCAGGTCTGTGGGAAAGGGATGATAGGGACACTTTAAATGCACAAGAAACAGTAAAGTCATTACCAGTAAATTGATTTACTCAAGTACTGTACTTAAGTAAGAATTTCAGGTAATTGTACTTTGCTGGAGTATTTCAATTTGTTGCTACTTTGTACTTCTACTCCACTACAATTGAAGGTGAATTGTGTATGTTTACTCCAGAACATTTAATGAATACCTTAAGTGACTTTGCAGATTTGGATTAATGATGTGAAATATAATCAACTCTTAAATCAGACTTTAGTTACACCTGGAGTAAATTCACAAGCTACCCTGCAGTATACAAAGTCATTACAACTAGCTGCACCTTTACCAGCTTTGATAACACTTGTAATATGTAAACATGTAATATATATTATTTTTGAAATAGGCAGATCTGCATAATGACTACTTTTACTTGTGGTACTTTAAGTATATTTTGATGCTAATACTTTTATACTTTTACTTGAATAACCTTTTGTATGCAGCAGGACTTGTACTTGTAACAGAGTATTCCTACACTCTGGTACTTCTACTTCTACTTTTACAATATCTGAGTACTTTTCTCACCAGTGCAATACATAATGTGATCTTAGTACTCAGAACCAACTTGATGTCTAGAATGGGACTAACGTACTAAGGTTACTCACAAACGTTAACCCGGGCTAGTTCATTAGAATAACCGGGAGTTTCAAAATATACTTTTGCACAAAGTCCTGACGGTGTAACGTGTCTCTACACTATCTACTATCCTCACACTGTTATTGATAACAAACACTAACAGGTATATGATTGAACCACCCACTAAACCAAAGGTACTACAGCAACAAAGGCTAGTCTTGGTGGCTAAACAGGCTAGCCGAAACAATGTAATGTTAATGTAAAGACACTGAGGCTAGCTAGTTAGCCGCTAGCTAGCTATCTACCTGGCGGCGAGTGCAAATAACTGCTTACCTCAATGATCTTCTATCAGATAAATGCTGTCCAAATATCGCCCTCTTGCTCCAGTAATGGCAACAAATAGTTTGAGTATTTATTATTTTAAATAAAACATAATGAGACCTCTCCACCGCTTTCTTTCAGAGAGCGCTGCACGTTATTGTTTTCTTTACGTCACTTCCCGTTAGTGCAGGACACATATTTCACCACTAGATGGAGACAGAAGTTGTCATTGTAAATACCAACCTTAACAATGTGAATGTCATCTTCTCTATACTGTTGTTATGTCCATGTTTGTGTCTCCGGCCTGTAGGCTACTGTACTAAATAAAAAACAGAACTACAAAAAACCTAAATACAGCACAGTAGTCTTGGAAGTATTCAGAATGATATAAATTCTGTTAAAATTGACAAGTTGAGGGGACTTCCGGTCTGCTCTTCACCATGTAAGACGTGTCTCCTCGTAGCTCCATGAGGCTGTGACTAAAGTCAAACTACGAGCACTACTTATTCACAGACACTTATTGATACCTTTTATTTATTTGCCTTAGCACAAGTTTATTGTATTTTTTGCACTTTTTAGCCAGCTATGTCGCCTGCACCGAAGACGGATACATCGCGAGGAGGCCGCTCCAAAGCCTCGCCCTCGATTGACCCTGACCCCCTGCCGAAGCTAGATGCTAATCAAGCTAACCCCCCCCGACTGGGAACGGCTTGAATCAATGCTCGCTTCCATGAAGGGTGTAATATGCGGGAGAATTGACTCATTGGCCACTGAACTTCGCTCTGAGATAACTTCAGTAAAGCAAGAATTAGAAAATACAGTTGAACCCATACGACAGCGGCTTAATTCCCATGACCGGACCATACTTGAACTGGAGCGGGTGAGCACGGATAACTGTGTTTGAGGACAATAACATCAACACACACACGGACACTGTCATCTGCTACATTGGGAAATGCATCGATGACGTGGTACCGAAGGTTTCTGTACGGACATTCCCAAATCAAAAGCCCTGGGTAAACGGTGAGGTGCGCGGCAAACTGAAAGCGCGCACTCTCGCGCACACAGCGGGAGATTTGGAGGAGTACAGGAAGTCTAGGTATGATCTCCGGAGAGCAATTCAAAATGCAAAGAGACAGTACAAAGACAAGGTGGAATCTGACTTCAAAGGCTGTAACACTAGGAATATGTGGGCGGGACTAAGGACAATGACTGACTACAAAGGAGCAGCGGGGGGTGCTGCGGGAGTGTCTGCGTGCGCATCTCTCCCAGATGAGCTAAACAGTTTTTTTGCACGCTTTGAGAGCAGCCAGGCTGTGGAGGTACAGAGGGACCAGGAGCTACACTGCCCTTTTGTTTTAAATAGGGCAGATGTGTGTAAATCCTTTAAAAGGGTTAACCCACACAAGGCTCCTGGACCTGATGGCATCCCTGGCCGTGTTCTCAGGGTGTGTGCAGTTCAGCTGGCAGAGGTGTTCACAGACATCTTCAACAGGTCCCTGCTGCAGTCTGTAGTCCCCACATGTCTTAAACACTCCACCATCATTCCTGTCCCCAAAAAGACAATCATCACCTGCCCCAACAACTACCGCCCAGTAGCACTCACCTCTATCATAATGAAGTGCTTTGAGCGGTTAGTCAAATTATTCATCACCTCCTCCCTCCCTGAATCTCTGGACCCCCTGCAGTTTGCCTACAGAGCAAACAGGTCCACAGACGACGCCATAGCCCTCACCCTCCACACTGCCCTCTCACACCTGGACCCGAAGAACAGGAACACATATGTGAGAATGCTGTTCATTGACTACAGTTCAGCATTCAACACCATTGTGCCCTCCAAGCTGGCCATCAAGCTCAGAGACCTCGGGCTCAACAGCGCCCTCTGTGACTGGATCCTGAACTTCCTGACGGGCAGACCCCAGGCAGTGCGGGTGGGAAATATCACATCCTCCACCCTGATTCTCAACACCGGTGCCCCTCAAGGCTGCGTGCTCAGCCCTCTCCTCTACTCCCTGTTCACCCACGACTGCGTGGCCACACACAGCTCCAACACCATCGTGAAGTTTGCTGATGACACGACCGTCATCGGCCAGATCACAGACGATGACGAGACGGCGTACAGAGAGGAGGTCGAAAACCTGACATCTTGGTGCCAGGAGAACAACCTCCATCTCAACATCAGCAAAACAAAGGAGCTGATTGTGGACTACAGGAAGCAGCAGGGAGAGGGACACGCCCCCATCGCCATCAATGGGACTACGGTGGAGAGAGTCAAAAGCTTCAGGTTCCTTGGGGTCCACATCACTGAGGACCTGACATGGTCTCTTCACACCACCATCATCACCAAGAAAGCTCGACAGCGGCTCTTCTTCCTCCGCAGGTTGAGGAGGTTCAAAATGGATTCCAGGATACTCTGCAACTTCTACAGGTGCACGATAGAGAGTATCCTCACTGGCAGCATGACGGCCTGGTACGGCAGCTGCACCGACCTCGATCGTAAGGCTTTACAGAGGGTGGTGAAAACTGCACAGCACATCACCAGGACGGAGCTGCCATCCATGGAGGACCTTTACTCCCAGCGGCTCAGTAAGAAATCACTACGGATTATCAAAGACCCCCATCACCCCAGCCACAAACTGTTCTTTCTGTTGCCGTCTGGCAGACGTTACCGCAGCATCCTGGCAAGGACAAGAAGATTCGGAGACAGTTTCTTCCCGCGGGCAGTGAGACTGTTAAAAAATTGAACTGTTGAAACAACTTCAAACATTCAACTGCTACTCAGTAGTATGTATCTAATACCTAATATATATATATCATTCCAATAACTTGTATATAGACTCATACTGCACTATTCCACATCATAACTTTATTTCATTTTTATAACTATTATTATTTTTGTATTGCTCATGCTCTTATTGTTATTATGTTATGTTATTATGTTGCATTGTTGGAGAAGCCTGTGACATAAGATTTTCAACTGCATAATTACTCTGTAGCTATGTCAGATTGACAATAAAGAACCTTGAACCTTGAACCTTGAACTGCCCGAGCTGGACATGACGGTGAACTTTCTCAAAGCTCAGGTGAAATTACTGAGTGACAAGTGTTAGGACTTAGAAGGAAGGTCGAGGAGGAATAACATTCGTCTTATTGGACTTCCAGAAGGCTTGGAGGGTCCTCGGCCGACCGACTTTGTTGCAGAGCTGCTACGAGACACACTGAAGCTGGATGAGACGCCCCTACTCGACCGAGCCCACCGAGCTCTCCGCGCAAAGCTTATGCTGCGTTCACACCGGACACGATGCGAATATTTGCTTCGCTCTAATCGCTCCTATCGCAGCGCTCTAAACGCTCGAGTTTCACCGCGGCTGTCAGCTGTGTTTACTCGCATCATTCAAACAAGACGTGCTGGCTAGGGGACTACAACTACAACAAAATGTACATATTTTACCGTGATTTAATTGTAATACAAGTTTCAAAATGATGCCGAAGTAACAACATACTGATACCGGAGCGAATTCGTGTCTGTCCGCGGCTCTGCATTGACTTTACATGTAATCGCGCCGCCCCCAAACATCGCATCGCGTCCGGTGTGAACGCAGCATAACCCCTAGATTCCACCGGGTCCATCTGCGCCGCGTTACGGCCGCGGTTACGGCCGCGGTTACGGCCGCGGTTACGGCTGCGCCGCGGCGTTCACAGCGATCGCGGCCACTCTAGTCAATAGGTGCTATTCCACCAGACGCGCCGTGTTACGGCTAGAAGCGTCCCAGAAGCGTCCCAGAAGCGTCCCTGCAAGAGTCATTGCAGGCCCTGGTGGATAGAAATTCAGAGGCTACTGACACTGGGGGGTTTGTTAGTCTGTCGACGGTAGCGAACAAGGCACGTGCGTTGTTTTTGTTTTTGGTAATGATGTCAGAGAAGAAAGACTGTTGTGCGTTTTTCAATTCCAAATTATAAAGGCCAAGTCTCTCTTTATAGATTTCAAAATGAACCTGGAGATTTTGTACAGCGGAACTGAGACATGCAGCTTTTTCTATGCAGACCGGGAAATGTCCGGGGCCAGATGGATTCCCAATCGAATTTTATAGGACATTTTTTGATAAATTGGCACCAACCCTAATTGATATGTTTAATGTATCATTTCTGTCCTCTAAACTCCCGCCAACTCTCATGCAAGCTACAATCTCACTGATTTAAAAAAAGGGTAAAGACCCTCTTTTGGCTACGAGCTATCGACCAATACGTTTATTACCAGTTGACCTAAACCTTCAGTCTAAACTCCTTGCCATGCGCATGGAATCAGTTCTTCCATCTATCATTTCCCCCGACCAGACAGGATTTATCCGTGGCAGGCACTCCTTTACTAATCTTAGAAGGCTCTTCAATATCCTGTACAACACTTCTTCCTCAATCACACCAGAGATCCTAATTTCACTGGATGCAGAAAAGGCCTTTGACCGGGTGGAGTGGAGCTATCTGTTCTTTACTCTACAGAAATGTGGTTTTAGTGATAACTTTATTTCTTGGGTGAGACTATTATACACTTCGCCCATGGCTTCTGTTAGAACCAATAACGACCACTCAAAACATTTTCCCCTCCACCGCTCTAACCGGCAAGGCTGTCCATTGAGTCCCCTTCTGTTTGCTATTGCCATCGAGCCACTCACAGTGGCTCTTCGGTCACACCCACATATTAAAGGTGTACTCAGGTATGGTGTTGAGCATACTGTTTCGCTTTAGGCGGACGACCTCTTAGTGTATATCTCTGACCCCTCTGTATCAGTCCCAACTGCTCTAAACATATTTACTTCTTTTGGCCGTATATCTGGCTACAAACTCAATCTAACCAAAAGTGAAATATTACCTTTGAATCTGGCAGGTAGAAACTACCCACTGCATAATTTTCCGTTTAAGGTTGCCTCAGATAGCATTGTGTACTTGGGTGTTCAGGTTACAACCCGGTTCGAAGACTTATTTAAGTCTAACTTTCTCCCGTTGTTTACCAAAACTCAGGATGATTTTGCACGCTGGTCTGTGTTAAATCTCTCCCTAGCTGCAGCTTGTATCAACTCTGTCAAAATGAATATCCTCCCCAAATGTACATATTGTTTTCAATGCTTACCCATTTTTATTCTGCAGTCCTTCTTTTGTAAGA